GCTTCATGCATGAGCTAACTACTCGGATACTTCATGCTTCAGGCATAAACTAACTTCTCATATTTTGTTGTCTTGTACTACTGCTGGAGTACAAATTACTCACACGAAAAGTTGTCAATGTCTTTTCAATTAAATATTTCTCTAAAACTTCTTGTTTAGAGTTTCACTTCTGAGACTATTTTGTGAAGAGCTGAATTATAGTCAGTTACTGACTTATAATCTTAAAACTTAAGATTAATCTAGTCAAAATGTGTCTGAGGAAGGACAATAGATGACTACTAGTCAAAATGGTCATTCAGGGACTTACATAACGCAATATGGACTTTTTCAATCAAATACTCAATTTTAAGATCGTGGTTCAAGTAGTGACGTATGAAAATGAGAGCTTGTGCCTTCTGGGCATCGGTTCTCTGTGACTTAGCAACAAAAGTTTGGCTCGATTTCTTAGATGCCAAAAATATTTCAATATCCAAAGCATAAATGAAATAATTGCTATCGACATGAGCGAGCTCAATAAATTCACATTTTCAATGAAATGCATAATCTACAAGATCATCATTTGATACAACTTTAGGAAACAATGTGACAACTTGTAGAAAAACCACTATTTTGAATACATGTTCAAGCAATGGATGAAGAAACACCTTTTACATAAATATGCATATCTGTTTCTTAGCATTCTAATACAAACACAACAATCCAATGCAAACATAATAAGGACCGATTATGCATTCGATATCCATAGTTATAGAACATACATGGATACATATACATACAATTTGACATATAACCACATGTATTTACCATTTCAAAGCATCATGGTTCATATAGAGCCTATCTCATATACATGAATTGAGAGAATAAATAAAGATAATATGTATTTACAAATTAATGTATTTACCCAAATTCTTAACCATGTCTTGATGAGGGGTTCATCACTCAAAAGTTGTTAACAAACATGAAGAATTATCACCCATTTCATAGAAACAATAATTGAAGGTTCCAAACAAAATTCATATATACACAAAAATCAAAATGGTGCAACACGAATCGGTGAGGCAAACACCAAATTGATGCAACAAGCATCGACTCGTGCTACAAGCAACAAGACACGAATTGTTGCGGCAAACACCGAATTGATGCAGCAAGCATCGACTCATGTTTATAGCATCAACTCGTGCTACAGGCAATGAGTGGTGCTTCACTATCCAATTCACCTAATTGATGCTCCCAAGTCATCAATTAAGCTTTAAAGTCTACTCACTCTTAAGCTTCCACAAAATAAACTTTAACAATCTTAATTAAAACCATTCATTCATTGCCTAATTAGGCACAAAAACGAATTGCTAATCACATGCAAACGACATATCATAAAAACATAATAATGCACTACAACATAGGGTATATAACATACAAAGTATGCGAAATGAAAATAATATGTATACATACATTGCATCTTCATACGAAAAGCCACTTCTATTTACAGAAACATATATATCACATGTTTTTCTTTCAATTTGAAGAATCAAAAATAAAATTGAAAATATATATTCAAAAAATTACACAATCATATATATATACGAACCAGTATGTGCAATTCATATTTCAAATTTTAGAATCAATATGTATCATATCAATCATGCATTTCATAATCATATCAAGAGGTGTAGAATCAACATGCGCCATATAAAACATGTATTATATGAATCCTATGAACATGCTTGCCTAGTATAAAAACATGTATTATAACAAGTCCGAGCATACCGTTCACCGAGGAATATGTTTGCGATTCGTGCTGATAACGTGTTGTAATTTAACCTATCAATTAGCCCAGATCTCGCGTGATAGTTGCACGGTAATAGCTTGGAGATATGCGTGTATATGTATGCGTGTATAGAGTAGAGAAGTAAAAGAGAAAGAGAAAAAGAACAACAAATGTAGGGCACAACAACCATATCATTTCATTAGCCTTCACTATCAATTTATAGGAATCCATACAACCTTTCATATCCTTAATCATAAACAATGTAATAAGTGGAAGGCAAATGAAGAGACTCAAGATTAATGGCCATAATGAAATATTTATAACATTTACATTATTATTATTACTAGTAATTCACCCGCGCGATGCACGGAAAAAAATTATGTTATTATAAATATAAATAAAAAATAGAAAAACTAAAATATTTTAAATTATTTAATATAATAATATTTTTGAGCTTCCATTCGTCAAGTATTTATTATTTTTATAGAATACAAAATTACAATTAAAATTAAAATTATAATTTTATATGGTTAATATAATCTCTAATTATGTGCATATTCAAATAAACTTATAGAGAGAATTTACATAATTACATTGATTTATTGTTAATTGTATTTCATCTAATCGAACACATTTTTTATATGATTATATAATATATAACTATTTTATTTTTCAAAAGTATATTTTTTATATGATTATATAATATATAGCTATCTTATTTTTAAAATGTTGTGCTTTTTTTTTTATTTTTTTTTTATTTTTTTTATCACAATACGAATAATAACTAAGATAATTACATTTGGAAAGCAAATTTCAAATTTTGTATGTGTAAATTTAAACTCTAATTGAACATATTTTTTATATGATTATATAATATATAGCTATTTTATTTTTCAAAAGTATATTTTTTATATGATTATATAATATATAGCTATTTTATTTTTTAAATGTTGTGCTTTTTTTTTTTTTTTTATCACAATACGAATAATAACTAAGATAATTACATTTGGAAAGTAAATTTCAAATTTTGTATGTGTAAATTTAAACTCTAATTGAACACATTTTTTATATGATTATATAATATATAGCTATTTTATTTTTCAAAAGTATATTTTTTATATGATTATATAATATATAGCTATTTTATTTTTTAAATGTTGTGTTTTTTTTTTTTTTTTTTTTATAATAAAGGATGTTGTGGCATTAATTGTAACATTAATTATTTCCCAAACCATATAGCTTTATTATATAAAGGATTATTATTATTATTATTATTATTATTATTATTATTATTATTATTATTATTATTATTATTAAACTTAAACTTTTAATATAAAGTACTAATATTGGGCACCTATTTCTTGCACATTGCGTATAAAAAATACTAATATATATATAGTTGCTTCTAGCAAACCTTAATCTTGTCATGCAAGCCAATAACAATTCATTTCAAGACAAGAAAATGGAATAACGTAAAGACGAACAACATTATAATTATATGCAGTTAAACCTTAGCTAATACTGCTAATATCGACAAACCGAAACGCGTGGGAACAATTGAGTCAACTGATACGGCAATGAAACACTACGTTCGCATCATATGCAAAAACTTGTAAACCACGCTTTCACATTTAGATTTTGAAAATGTTGTTAACCTAGCGGCCCCACATATGTTTTATGTGATTAAAATTTGATTTTATATATATATAAAAACTTGTTTTATGTTCACATCATTATGTATTTTATGTTTTAATAACGGTAATGAAACAGTACTGTAAGTTCACATCATTTTCTTCCATATATTTTAATTAAATTTGTTATGTGTGATTTTATTAATTTTCCCTTTTTTTTTTATTAATTTTAGTTTTGATCTGTTGGTTATTATATTTTATTTTTAAAAAATGCAATTATTTTTAAAATGGATCATAATTGTTCATTGACTACTTGTTGGAGTATTAATTAAGTTGAATCTATAATCTAATCAACAATGACTATAGAGAAATGAAACAAACAATATGAAGGTCATATTTGGTAACATAGTTAGTTTCTCAATTAATTTTAACTTATTTGACTACTATTAGCTGTTTGACTTGATTAAGCAATCAATATGAGTGTTTGATTATTAGTTTTTTGTAACAACTTATTGGTTTAAAATGCTAAAATTCAAAAAGCTGCTCAAAGCATCTTTCAATAAGTTTTTTGATAAAGTCATTTTGCATGTAATCAGCTATCAGCTAATTTATCAAATATTTTTTTACAATCAGCTAATGCTATCAACTAGTCAAACTCGCTAACTCAATCAGCTAATAACTATTTACCAAACTACTAAAAACGTGTCACTTTTAGTTTTAATATAGGACTAAAAAGTGACACGAATTGAACACAAATTAAATGTGATACATTTTTAATTATTGATGATAAGATCTAGTGAATTTTGAATTAAAGAATTAAAATTGAAAAGCAAAATCATAAGAATTAAAATTAGAACTAACCCTTCCGAGATCGAATTCTTAAAACTAAAAAAAATAATAAAAAAATTCAAACAAGTTTTAATCCACAAAATGCAATTAATATATATAATCAGCATCAAATTCATATTTTTATATTTAGATTATCTCATTCCAACTAGTTAGGCATTAAGTTATTGACAATTAAACATTTACCCAACGCTCAAAATTGAACATTTAGTTCATTCAAAGTAAAAACTTAATTTAATAAACACAAGCTTCTTCTTTAATCACGATCATGACGCATCATAAAATTTTCTCATTCATGAAATAGTCTTTACCAATAAAATTTATAATAATACCAAACTATATATTATCTAAACGTAACTGTTAAGTACATAATTAATTATTATTGGCTTAGATAGTCTTCGTACAACGTAATGTAATGTTTTATTGATTTTTAAATAAAATCTTTTAATTTTATTTTATATTTTTGTAAAGGGAAGTAACCTGGAAATGTTCTGTTACTTACGCGCTCGATACATTAGAGCATATTGTCCAAAATGGGACGCATTTTCGTTTACTGATTGATTAATTGGGGTGCAAGTAAAACCCAACTATATATATATATATATATATGTATTATGTAATTTCGTTGAATATACACTTCATAATAAATAAATTAATATCTCTCAATCACAGCTAGCTGACAACTATACGTTCCTTGTGTGCTAATCATTAGTTGTCGTTGTAGCACACGACTAGGTTGGGCTATAAATAATGCACACAAATCTTTCTCACCCTTCCAACAACTACTATAGATCTTCTTGCTCTTCAAATTATTTTCAAAAAAATATTAATTAAATTTGAAAATAATAAAAGACAAATACAAGGAACGAAAGACAGGAAGATATGGGTTTTGTTGATCATCTATCAGACAAGTTTGAGGTTACAAGCACAAGAAAGAGCTCAAGAAAAGCCATGCAGGTAAGCTTCTATTTTTTGCTTGCTTTAAGTCATGTTTGGTAAAATAGTTAGCTTATCAGTTAATTTTGACTTGTTAACTTATCAGCTAATTTTGGCTTGTTTGATCACTATTAGTTGTTTGACTTGGTTAAACCACTAATATGAGTGTTTGATTAATTAGAGTTTTGTATTGCTTTAAAATACTAAAATTAAAAAACCTGCTCAAAATAATTTTTTTGTCTTTTTGAGAATGTCATTTTGTATATATAATCAGCTATATTATCAACTAACAGCTAATTCACCAAACATTTTTCTACAATCAGCTGACAGCTATTTATCAAACACCCCTAATTTGTTTTCTATATTGGCCTGTGATTTTATTTTTCTTTTTGGGTTTTTCTCCCAATGTTTCCTAAGTATGATGTTGAATTTGGGCATTGTTTCAGACAGTTGAAATCATGGTGGAAATGGACTGTGATGGTTGTGAAAAGAGAGTGAGGAAAGCTGTTTCATCTATCAAAGGTTCGATATGTCCATCTCTCATATATACATATACATATACATATACATATATACTGATATATATTTATCTCAAATTAAATCTCCACCTCATTTAGTAACACATTTTATGTTTTATAATTGAGAGATATATGTATGTAGTGTATGCATTAAGCTAATAGTATAGACTATAGAGAGTATATTTGAATTTGCTTTATGTTTAATGACTTCCCTTTGATACAGGCGCGGAGTCAGTGGAAATCGACAGAAATGAAAGCAGGGTGACGGTAAAGGGTTATGTGGAACCAAACAAGGTGTTAAGGAAGGTGCAAAGAACAGGAAAGAGTGCTGAGTTTTGGCCATACGTTAGATATGATTTGGTGGCCTACCCTTATGCCCATGAAGCCTATGATGAGGTAGCACCCCAGGGTTATGTCAGGAATGTCCCTCAAGCCCTTCTGCCCAATCCCACCACTGAAAGGTTCACCACCATGTTTAGCGACGAAAACCCTAATGCTTGTTTTATTATGTAAAGTTTTAAGTTCTACTCTCAATTTTAAATTTTGATGTTAGATTAGTATGATACGATATATAGTTATTCTTTAATTGTGTAGTAGGTATTCTTTGATTTTGTAAGTACGAGTATATATATATATATATATATATATATATATATATATATAGAACTTATACCTGTGTATACATTGATATGCATTTTGTTTGGTGAACTTTGGTCATAAATTTTTGGATGATTTTGAGTGGTTAATAACGTTATTTTTAATATCATTTAAACATATTTGTTGATGGATGACCAATAATGGTCATGCTACAATAATGTTACGATCAATATAGATATTTTCAAAAAAAAAAAAATGACTAAAAATAGAATGACACAAATTATTAGGACCAAAAGGGGAAAATGACTTAACACATAGAATTGAATAGATTAAAATGTCATTGTATTTAACGTCATTGATAGTACTAATTCCCTCATAGTAAGATGTATGTACTGTATGTATAATGTGTAGATGAAATGTAGAATCTCTGTAGTATGAATGAAGAAGATGAGATATAGTAAAGGGGGTTCTTTTATTAATGTTGTTCTCGTCTTTGTAGAGAGAAGGGGGAGAGGAGGGTGTCTGCAGAGAGAGTAATATCCCTTAGAGAGTGAGGGTCACCCCTTAATAATGAGGGCCAAAGGCCCTTTTATAGGCATACGGTGGTGGCGGGTTTTGTAACACCCCTAATTTTTAAAGTGATTAAAAGCTTATATAAATAACGCAATCTTCCATTAATTATCCCAAACAAAGCATACACTAAACACAATTGTCGGGGTGCTATGCCACACCTAGGTTTGAGAACCTAGGTGCCCAGGCTAAGACTATTCAGACAAGTAAATCCACAAGTCAACAATCAATTACAATCCATGACACGTAGGCCAACCACTACAGCTAGGAATAACTAGACTAAGACTACGAGTCCATCTAGCGCACTCATCAGCTAATGATCATCACCTGAAAAACATATCGTAGCAACTGTCAGCGAATAATGCTGAGTAACCCACTCCCACACGTTAAGTACAATAAATATAAGTATAGGAAATCATTTTGGAACTGGAATACATATATAGCCTAAGCGACACTAGCTTTTAAACCGGGATCAAGACTCAAGATACAACAACAGACTTAACACTATAGAACAATCATAAAGACTAACATGCATCCTAAGAACACAAGGCAACGCATAATAGGAAAGCAAGCTCATAAATAACAAATAGAGACAGCAACGGGATTCAAAGATAATCAATTAGCAAGTAATCATCAAAATACACAATCCATCTTCCAACCTTATACCAAGTTCCAACCTTTTTATTCCTATCCATCCTTACATCAGTTCCAACCTGTACCTCCAGGCCACCCTTATACCTCCTTCGGAGCAACTAAATGCCCCACTACGTAACCACCAACAAGTCCACCAACATGGTAGCACCGAAGTTTCATTCGCATGGTCCGTGCCTCTAACACCAATACCAAGGGGTCAACGCATATAACTCTAACATGACACCGCGGCGCTTATACCCTGACCCAAGCCTTTAGCCAGCAAGTCTAAGGGGTGGTCCGTGCCTTTAGCATGATAACCGTGCACTCGTTGTGCTTTCCGCAAACAATTTATCTCCATCAATCACAATCTCATCATCATTAGTCACATTAATCATTGCGCAATGACCACGGTACCCATCATCATTCAATCAATCAATCATGTAATCAACAATAACAATCAAGGCATATAAACAAACGACACACGCAAATTCCTAGAACGGTACTCAAAACATCGTACGAGACTCACAAATATCAAACGGGATACAACGAGACACGGGAAAACAACAAACGGGGGAAAACACCCCGCCACACCTCGCCTTTCCAGCGGGTTGGGGGTGGGTGGTGGACCACCCGCCGGCAGCGTCACTGTTCCAGTGGGTGCCCGGTGGGCAGTCGCCTGCCCGCTAGTTGCCCACTGGAACCGGGCAGTGTGGGCAGCGGGTAGGTGGCGGGGATTCGTCCCCGCACCTACCCCCCACTAGTACAAGGGTAGAAGATCCGGTTCGGGGTTCGTTCGTGGAACCCAAAACCATGTCCAAACACATTCTGACACGCAACAACAATATCACGGGTTCAATTAACGGAGATTAAACCAAGAATCATTCCAATTACGTTCTAACACGATCCCTAAACATGCCAAGACTCGACATCAAACACATAACGATTCAGGAGCATCCGGAACCACAAGAACATCAAGAATTCTATATGCAAGCCCTAAAGACGAGTCCTAGGCTAGACCCAACACCCAATCATGAATAAACCCACCCAAGAATACCAAGAACAACACAACAACGAGATTCACGATATAAACCCTAGGGACAAGCTCTAGACATAATTAAATACAAGATTACACATATAACCAATCGCAACATCAAGATCACCAAGATTATCAAATAAACACAATATGAATCTTAGGCAAGGCTCTATCAAGACTCAATCACGGAATCACACATACAATCATCAAAGGAGCCAATAAATAAGATATAGCAAGGAAAATAGGTTTTGTAAGACATGGGTTACCTCTTAGCGCTAATCAATATCCTTGGCTACTAAGGTTCTTCTCTAAGATCTTCCTCCGATTGATCTCCCTAGGTTCGGTGGTGGGGAATTCCTTTGCTAAGTTTCCTCGGGGGATGTCTCGCGTGGTAGAATCAATTGTGGTAGGGTTTCTAAATGCTTCCTAATCCCATATATATATATATATATATATATATATATATATATATATATATATATATATATATATATATATATATATATATATATATATATATATATATATATATATATATATATATATATATATATATATTCAGGAGTCCTAACTAGAATCTGAATAGTAAAGGCCCACTTTCCCTATTCCTAACAGAATTAAAGACTTGATTAAGGATAAGGGTCCATGATCCATTATGGACTACACTAATTAATTAATGGGAAAGCTAGTCCAATTAAATCCTTTTTAATTATACATTAACGGAATGAATTCCATAATTAGTCCGGGTTCGGAGGTCGTAACACGGGGTGTTACAGGTTTGACCTGTCACCTTTGACTTTGACCTGTAGACCGGGTCCCGAACCGCTGGACCCCGACCCGACCATAAAATGGGAACTCTGACGTATAAAGGTTGAATCCGGGGCATATATCCTATCAAGGAGCCCCCCCCCCCCCCCCCCCCAGTCCGTGCCCTAACGACGAGTTAACGAGGAAGGGTTCGAGCTGGAAAATCTGGCTATGGTTCGTGACATGCGCTGGTTGCCTCGTTTAAAACCTTTAGGCTAATAAAAAACTCAGTGGGAAAAAATTTCAGCCAAGCTAAGGAAAAAGAGTACAACGCTAAGCACAGTCTTTCGGACTATACGAGGTTGGACTTTTCACGCGGTCTAACGATCAAGTACTGACCAATCAAGAGATTGGGTTTGCAGGGGAACCTACTATCTATTTCTTACCAATCGAGAGATTGGTTTTATTTACTGTCTAGGGACCTCAGTGGATCGCGTGGATCGTAGACGGGAACGCTTTTCCCGCCTTACTCGGACTAACCGGTTGTGACTGGTTTGAGCTCGGCCAAACTCTGACCTAGATCACTCGACTAAAAAGATCGTTCTTAGCCGATTGCGTTCGGCTGGCTTTGATTATTGCACTACTCACTACGATTTCCTTTTGATAACTAAGAGTTACTCGGTTGGGGCGATTTCCCCCTTTTCGCGCCCTGTTTACGAATCGAAAGTCCCAGGCGGAGGGATACTAAGAGACCCGATGGTCTAACGATAGCGAGATGCGTTTTGAAAACGACAATCAGCTGAATAGGAAGTTTGTTCCCTCTTACGCTCAGTTTATGAACAGAGAGCCCCCAAGCGAAGGGGTCGCTAAGAGACCCAAAGGTCTAACGATAATGAGACTAAGAAAGTTATTTTGATCGAGAAGTGATGACGAGACCGAGAAAGTCGGTTTACTCAGGAAGTGCTTTGGCGAACGAGCTAAGTCGGTTTACTCGGGAAGCACTTTGGCTACTCGGGAAATGCTTTAGCGAAGCGAACGCGCCACTCGACCGCTCTACTCGGGAGATACTTTAGCGAAACGAACGAGCTACTCGACCGATCTACTCGGGAAATACTTTAGCGAAACGAACGCGCTACCCGACCAATCTACTCGGGAAACACGAAATGAACGCGCTACTCGACCGATCTACTCGGGAAACGAATGTGTTACTCGACCGATCTACTCGGGAGACACGAGACGAACGCGCTACTCGACCGATCTACTCGGGAAATACTTTGGCGAACGAGCTAATCGAGCTATTCTACCACTGTAGCCCCCCACTCCCTTAGTTGCGAGAATCGTCAGCATAATGGAGTAGATATGACGGGTTCTCGAGTTCGCCTTTTAACTCTGATTGCGATCGAGAAATGACCCGATCGAGCTTATGATACCAATGCATTGGATCATACTCGTAGCGTTGATGATTGAAGAGAACCGAAGAAGGAAGGAAGATCGCACCAAGAGGGAGCATGATGCCATGGCACATGAAGAGCGCGTTGTCACCTTGCTTCGTCAACAGAACCGTATGATCGAAGAAGGCTTCGCGTTCATGAAGGCGCAGTTTGTTGCAGTGCACCAGAGGCTAGACCAGATCGAAGCCAGTTCAAGCCACAGAGGAGAAGATGAAGATGAATCCGAGGAGTCTCAGGAGACGGAGACCGAATCTTTCTAGAGTGGAGCTGTGGTCGTCTTGTTTGCTCTTCTTTAGTTGTTGTTATCTTCCTAGCCATTGTTACCGTTTGGTTGTTGCTTGCTTTTATGATTGTTCTTGCTTGTTGCTTTGTTGGATAGTTAGTTTTGTAGTTGGTGTTTGGAGTTAGTTGCTTAGTTCTTAGTTGTTGTCTAGAAGTTGGTGTTTGTGTTGGGACTAGAGTTCGTTATGCTCAATATATCCGTTTGCTTAATTCTTGCCAATTCTTGATTCGAAGTCTTTTGCCTTGAAATCTTGTGGAACCTTTTGGGGTTTTGGCCAAAAGAAATTGTTCTTGACACTCTTTGTCACATTGTTGTTCTTTTACCGTTTGTTTTAATTCGTCGTACCCAAGCTTCGGGAACGAAGCTTCTTTGAAGAAGGGGGGGGGGGGGGGGGGGATGGGAGAAAGTGACACCCCGAAATCCAAATTTGGTTAAGGGATTAATTAAGTAATTAATCCTATTTCAATTTGTAATTTAATTCCTTAAATTCCTGAAATTTAATAGTCGGGGACTAGTAATTGACTAGTCAAGCCCAAAGTCAAAGTTGTACCTTGAGCTTTGTAAGGAGTTCCCTTGTTCCTTACACCTTTTCCATGTTAGTAAGGGTATTCTTGACCTTTCACCTTGTGTTAGTATTGTAACCTAACCTAGTGAGAACATCCTCATTTCTATCCTTACACTTTCCAAAATCCTAGCTCCACCCTCTCTCTAAAAAGGTGGGTAGCTTTTCTTCCAAGCCAAGTTGAAGCTTTGTCAAGACTTCAAGAGTTGTCTCCAAGATTCTACCTTTCATACATTTGGGCATATAGGAGGGTAAGATCCATGTTCCTCTTGTGTTTTTAGTATGTTCTTATGTGTCTTTTCTTAAAGATAGAATCTTTATGATCTTTTGGTATGTTCTTGAAGTGGGTTTGGAAGGTGAGCTTTGATAGGAGCTTGGTGTGGTGTTAAGTGAAGGTTTTTGGTCTACAAGAGGTAACCCATGCTCTACAAAATCTATTTTGCTTACCTATATGAATATTTCTTGGATTCTACACGTGTTTTGCTATGAAATGTGAGTGTTTATGCATTGTCTTGTGAAAATGCATATCTAGAGCTTGTGTTTAGGGTTCTTGTATGCCATTGCTTGGCTATTCCTTTGATTCAAGTCATTTTGTTGTATTTGGTGAGATTTTGCATGTTTTGGACTTGAATTTGAGTTTGGAGAGAAAAATCCCCGAAGGGATTATTTTGGGCACAGGAACGTACCCGCGGGCGGAACGGCGGGCAGAGCCCTACCCGCCGCCTACCTGCGGGGAACAGGCCAGATATGGGTATGTACCCGCGGGCAGAACCACGGGTAGGGGCCTACCCGTGGGTCCACCCGCGGGGTACACCTTGGTGTATGTTTGGGATTTGTTCCCCGTGATTTTTTTGACTCGGTATTTGGTCTTTTGACTTCCCGTTGTTCTTTTGTGGAACTATTTGAGTGTCTTCTTGATGTTTCGTATGTCTAGAACTATATGGTAGGAATCCATGTAGGTTTTGGTGTCTTGAATCGTGCTAAGTGTTCAACATTGTGTTTCGTTGAACCGTGATGAGTCTTGTGCGTTCTTCGGAACTACGTTTGGTTTACCTGTTTGATAAGCATGCTAGTTCGGTGTTTAAATGCTAGCGTGTGTGTTGTTTGTACCTTCCTAATTGGTTGATGATAACTTCTGTTATTCATCGTTGTTGTTGTTGGGTTGTGACCCATTCCTTGATTGAGTATGGTTTCATATCTTCGTTGTGATACGTTGATTGATCCCTGTTGTGGTGTGATGCGTGTGTGGCTTTACCTGGATTGCACGATTAGTGGTATGGGACACTAGTCACCAAGGTATTGCAGTGGTCCTCGTGGTGTCCATGATGTGATTATGGAATTGTGGCCTGTGTGTCAGGTTCACGTATTTTGGGAGAGGCATGTGTTGCCAAGTGTGTGAACGGTACCCTCGTGTACTATGAAATCGGTTGTTTTATTGGCGGTCGTTGGCGGATGGGGACGACGGTCCTCGGAGGGAAAAGGTTGGACTTGGTGTACAGGGGTCCTGGAGGTAATGGTTGGAAGAAGATATAAGGTTGGGGGTAGCCATAAGGTCGAAACCGGGCATAAGGAAGGCATATCAACTCGTGATGGGTGATGTCACGAGGGCTTGTGTAGCCGTTGTTATGAGTTCTCTTCTTGTGACGTGTGTAGTCACAAAGGCATGTGTTGCTGTGTGTTGTGTCTTTATTCCTTTGAGTTATGCATGTCGGGTAGTAATCTATTGTGTGATGATAGATTGTACCTTGAGCCTTCTTGTGAGTCGTTGTTGTTCTTTATAGTCTTGGGATGTGTTCCCGTGTTCTTGTTGAGAGTGTTTGAGTTTGTGTTGACTATTACTCTTGGTTTTTGACTTATATATATGTATTCCGTTTCGAAAATGGCTTTACAAACTTATACCTTACCTATGTATGATATTTCACATGTATTGGTGGGTTACCATCATTATTCGCTGACCGGGCGTCGTCCCATATTTTATATGTTTCTTTCAGGTGATGCTTAGACGAGTGCGCGGTTTAGTGCCAGCTAGTATAGCTCCCCTTTTATGTTTTGTGGCCTGTGAGCCAATCTACACTTAGTACTCTGTTGGATGGTTGTAGATTTTAAACAATGCAGATTAGCCTGTGCGTTCACCCTTGGGTGAGCGTGACATAGCACCCCGTTTCCTTGTTTTATATATATCTTCACTTTCAGTCTTCCGCTGTGTTTGGTGTTTTGGTTTAAGTTATCTGCATGTTTTAAGGCTTAAAATAGCATGGTTTTAGGGGGTATTATAGTCTACTTAAGATGCGTCGATCTAATGCTTTAGGTGCGCGTGGTTGGTGTTCTTAAAGGTACTTTGTTTGTGTGCTTAAGGTGCGTGGTTTGTGTATTTAAGGTGCACTTTTAATGCTTAAGGTGCGTCAACTGCACAACCGCACGGGAAGCTATACCTGCAGCTGAACCTTCCCTAATATATATATATATATATATATATATATATATATATATATATATATATATATATATATATATATATATATATATATATATATATATATATATATATATATAGATTTTGAATCCGGTATATCCCCTCTTGCCAGGTGAGCTCGTGAGCCTAGATCCTGATCTTTTATTTTTTCATTTCAACGCGTGAGATTGCTTTGCATTTTTAAGGCTGTGAGCTGATTTATTTACTAGGCAGGGGCGTTCTAGTCTTTTGGCATTATATTTATTATATTACCTTATTTATTTCTTGCTTTATATTGGAAGGTGCAAAGTCTTTTTTATTCTCAATTCTTTTTTTCGATCGCAGCTTTGTGAAATATCTCTCACTCCTCCGTCTCCACAGAGTTCAATCTTCCGACTCGATAATTTTCCGGCGCTCGCTCATCCGTCTTTGTCGAGTTAGTGGATTTTCTGATGTCGCTTCTCCCTGTAGTGGCGTGATAATCTCAATGACTAACTCTTTCTTCAGGCATTCAAAGCGACAAAAGAGGAATTCTTCCGAGTGTCAACAAGGTATTCCGATTTCATGTTTTCTTTTCGTTTTTTATTGGGTTTCATTGTGTATTTGTTTTTGTGATTTTTCCGGCATGGTGGGAGCTATGCGTAGTGGCGGTGATTTTTTTTTTTTTTTTTTTTTGAAAGGAAGGTGATTTTTTTTTTTGTTCGTTCATGTTTTTTTTCTTTTTCTTTTGGGGGTTTAGGGTTCTGCACGGTTGGGTGTATTTTTTTTTTTTTGGATGTTAGACCTGGTAATTTGTATCAATTTGGGGGGTTTTGGTCTGGCAGTGCTGGGTGACCATTGTTGGATGGTTGGGGTTCCGGTCGGTGAGAGTATGTTCTCGATGGTGCTTGTTGTAGGATGGTGGGTGGCTGTTGTAGGATGGTAATGAGTAGGTTCCCTTGGTTGCTTTGCTTCATCTATCAAGTTTTAGGAAAAATGGGGGAAACAAGTTTGTTCTTATTCATTTATACTTGTTTGATACCCTTATTCCAATTTATCTTCAGGGGTTTTGTTTTCAGTTTTTGGACTTGATGCCAGTAGATCTGGAGTTTCATAACTTTAGTCGAAATATTTGTGATTGGTTGCTGAAAAATTGTAGGAAGATTTTAGCTTTATGAAGTGAGTTTCTTGAAAAACAAGAGTCATGTTGTGTTTAAGATATATGATCTCTGTTATTTTGCTATATATGGTCTGTGCTTTGGATGGATTTGAGTGGGATTTTCACCCTTTGCTGGCAATGGATTTGAGTGGGATTTTCACATCCACACCCAATCCCCACCCACCACCCTTGAAAAAACCTTACTTGTGCGTATTGGGTGAGAGTGGGTGCCTGCAGATTGGTTTTTAATTGTCATCCCTCCATCATAATTGTACTCCACTTTGATGTGGAAAATTGGAATTATTTATGATGCTAAATGTTTTTTGCAAACCCCTATTAATGTTTGCTCTTGCAATCTTCTCATTGACAGTGGAATATTGTTAACTTATTTTGATGCATGTTGGTCTTTGCTAATGTCTATAATCATATTTATTTCTTTTATAGTCTTTGTCTTATATTCCCACGATCACAAATTATACTCAACTATGGACGTGGGTTCCTAATGTTGTTGTTGCTCACGAAAAGGAAGGGATTAAAGCTGTTCATCTGGCATCTAGAAGTTTAAAGAGCCTTATTTGCTGCTAATCTACATTAAATGTGTTATTCCCTATATCCTATATAATTGATATTGCTATTTTTATTCCATGAGCCTTAGATGATTGTATCTTGATTTGTTTCATTTTGTTTTCATTTCCTAAAGTTTTTATTAGTAAATGGCTATGCCGGGTCAATGATCAATTTATGTTTTGTTGGGACTACATTTTCTCTTTTTTCGTTTTGTATTTTAGGTGTGTGCAAACCACATTGTAATTTGTGCGCATCACATTTCTGGTATGTGGGAATCTGCTGCGCAATATACACTGTCACATTTTGCTATGTGCATGATAATAATGACGTCTGTGCAATAATAGAATTTCAGCATATCGCATGCGCCTTATACCTCGAATGCACACTGTCACCAGCATTACGCACACACTGTCACCCGTGTGCGCACAGGCCATAGATTGTGAAATAAAACCTAATTAGCAAATATCTACGTGCTCATTCCTACGCATCCACCTACTTCACTAAGCACACACCAGTTTAATGCGCACGCCTTTATTACCGTTTTATTTTAAATGCAATCTTACAGCGGTGTGTGCATTGTTATAGTATGGTGTGTGCGTTAGTTCTTGCTGATTTTTTTTTAATGTATATAAACCATGATATTTTTTTAATGTATATAACTCATTGTTGTCTATGCATCCTCCCGTCAACATATCGGTTTCACAAACAGACCTGTATGCAACCACCTGAACACGCACACGCTACGCACATAACAGATATTCTAGTTCGTCCACCAACCCCCACCCCCCTCCCACCATCCCAGCGGAAAAAACCCCAATATTCAGCGTATGCACAGACGATGACACGTAAATGCACTTACCCGTTCGTTTTCTCCTCAAGCCTTGTTCACGCCAAGTTCACCTAATCAGCCTTTGTAGTAATTCAAAGTATTAATTTCCATCCATAAACTCCCTAATTTAATGCTACAGATTCCAATAATATTATGTCCATAAATAAATTAGTATTACAATTACTAATATATCCTTTACATTGAAAAATGTCCTTAATTACTACCCTAATCTCTTATAATCTCAACCATTGATGGAAATTGAATCAATGGATATTAGGAGGCCTCATGGTCTCATCTATTAGATGGGGTGCACCGAATTCGAACCCTATATATATACATATATATGATGGATTTAATTAACCCGGGGGTGTGCCCGAATCAATAAATCTGGATAAGAACGTAATATAATAAGAATAATACGCGAATAATATAGAACGATGTCGTAAAGGTCGCTGGGGACCGTATATTATATTAATTGCCGTAGTATTTGGCTATTACAAAGATCCGATAGGACAAAGTGTGTAATAAGTGTAGAATATGTAATGAATCGCCCTTTGTTAGGACAAGGAGGGGGGTTTTATACAAGCTAACCCCCCAACCGCCTCCCCCATAATCGGGGGGTGGTTAGATCTCACTTTGACCGGGCCCGGGTGGACCGGGTCGGGTCGGGTCTCGAGCTCGAGTGGTGCCGAGCTCGGGTAGGACTGAGCTCCACGTAGATCGGCTCGGGTCGGGGCACCTCCATGGTTCTCCGGGTCCGCGTTGCTCTTGAGCACCTCCGTGGTGCCCCGGGTCCGTGTTGCTCTTGGGCACCTCCGTGGTGCCCCGGGTCTGTGTTGTTCTTGGGCTCCACTAAGGTGCTCCGGGTCCATGTTGCTGCCCCGGGTCGGGTCGTGGGTATAATATATCCATCAATATATATATATATATATATATATATATATATATATATATATATATATATATATATATATATATATATATATATATATATATATATATATATATATAATTAGGTTCTGGTGCGGTTAGGGTGCCCAGGTGCGGTTGTGCGGTTTAATCTGGGCCATTCATCTCGCATAAATCAACGTTCAGGATTACCAAATTTAAAAAAAAAAAAAAACGCGGTGGTAATTTTTTTATTTTTGCATCTAGGTCAAAATTAAGGTGAGCGGTTCTGTGATTAATGTGCGTGAGTTTTGTATATAAGATGTGTGAGTCTTGTGCGTAAGGTGCGTGAGTTTTGTGCTTAATGTGCGTGGGATTGTGCTTAATGTGAGTAATTGTTAAAACTTAAAGTGTGGGCTTTTGTGCTTAAGGTGCGTGAGATTTGTTCTTAATGTGAGTGGAGTTTGTGCTTAATGTGCGTAGGGTTTGTGTTTAACGTGTGTGAGGTTAGTGATTAAGTAGTTGTTGAAACTTAAGGTCTGTGAGTTAATACTTAAAGTGCGTGGGTTTTGTGCTTAATGTGTGTGGGTTTTGTACTTAATGTGCGTGAGTTTATGCTTAATGTGCGTGAGTTTGTGCTTAATGTCAGTAGTTGTTGAAACTTAAGGTCTGTGAAATACTTAAAGTGCGTGGGTTTTGTGCTTAATATGCGTGAGGCTGTGCTTAATGTGCGTGGGTTTTGTACTTAATGTGCATGAGTTTGTGCTTAAGATCTAACACTTATGCTTCTTACTTCGAAACATGCGTTTTTTTTTTAAATTTTCATTAATTTGAGCCGTTGATCTAGATTTGATCAACGGCTCAGATCTAACCGCACGGGAAGCTATACCCGCACCTGAACCTTTCTCTCTCTCTCTCTCTCTCTCTCTCTCTCTCTCTCTCTCTCTACATATATATATATATATATATATATATATATATATATATATATATATATATATATATATATATATATATATATATATATATAGGCGAGTTCAGGTGCGACGCTGTCTTACGGTGCGGCGGTGCGGCATCACCAATAGTTCAACAAATATACACCATCAACGTTAGGAAAATACACCACAAAAAACAGAGACAAATTAGGTACGCATCACCAAAAACACACCATTAGGTGTGCGTAAAAACACCATACAGTGTTCGAAAATACACCATTGGGAGTGGTGAGTTATATGGTGTATTTTTTTGGGTGTGTTGTGTATTTTTTGATGTTTTATTGCATTTCATTGTGGTGTGTTTTCCTTACACTGTTGGTGCATATTGTTAACACTGTTGGTATATATATATATATATATATATATATATATATATATATATATATATATATATATATATATATATATATATATATATATTGAAAGGTTCCAGTGCGGTTGAATGCTTCCCGTGCGGTTGTGCGGTTGATTAATGTGCGTGAGTTTTGTACTCAATGTGCGTGAGT